GAGGACGAACAACGGCGCTGAGCAACCAAGCAGATATGGAGGAGACGCGAGTGCATTGCGTCTTATCGGAGTCAGAGAACATGGTAGAAACGTACATTTGTCTTCTCATTCCTTCTTTCCTTCCAACGCCTCCTTCTCTCTCAGTTCCCTTCTCCGTTTCACATCCCAGTTGTACACACGCGCCGTATTCACTTCCATAACAGTTATTTGTTCTCGGATGAATTCCAGGTCTTCTATGACCGTCTTCAGGGACGCCTCTGCGGCCTCGAGTTTCGAGCGGAGCAGTGCGATGGCCTCGGGTAGCTTGTAGGACAGCATGACGTTTGCCTACGGTGCAGGATGCGCCAAATTGTCGTCAAACGGATATTACGCCTCAGAAGATGGAAGCGTACCCCAAGCCAAAGGTGCACGGTGTCAGTGTCCTCAATCTCGGCCTCGGCGTAGAGGGTATCGTTCAACTCGAATGTCGTCCGGAGAGGCTTCTTCTCCTCTTCGGCCGAATCATCGAGGTCGTCGTCGTCTTCGTCTGAGGCCTTATCTTTGCCTTCCTGCGCGGCCGACGCGCGTTAGAAGGTGCAGTTCGGCCGTGAGAGCAGACGACTCACTCACTCGCCTCTCCTGCAAAAACTCAACTATGGACAGGGTCTTCTTGATATCAGGGACCTTGTCCTCGAGACCTTTCCGCCGCTGCGCGAGGTTTTGGTCCATGTAGCGGTATTTTCTACGGAGCGGGCAACCGACATGTGAGATGTGAGATCAACAAGCCAAGATATGTCACGCACGCAAGAGCACCTTGGATCTCCTTCAGCGCGGTCTCCACATCTTTATTCGGGCCAAGGTACTCCTCGACGTCTGCCTGTGGACGTGGACGTACATCTTTCAGCTGTGCCGCTCGCGCATTAGGCTGCAGTCGATCTCACTTACGATGAAGGGCGCTTGAGGGATACCGCGCGGATTTTTCAGTTGCGTCTGCTGTTTTTTCCCCTTCGCGGTGGACATGTTGTTAGTTGCGCGTGAAACGGGAGAAAGAGCAGGTCCGTTCTGGAGTGTGATGGTCACATACAACTGCAGTCGATGCTTGCCGCCGATCGTTAAGCGCTCGTATGTGGGCGCTCGGTGATTGCCGATGCCTATTTGTGCATTTTCTCGCTGCCTTCCCCCTCTCATTCCCTCCCTTCACCTTCACCTCCCCTTTCGCGCACTCACGACTTCGCATTGCACACGAGACTTATGTCCACTTGAAGCGATGTCCCGTCTTATAGTGAAGAACCTCCCCGTTTATCTTACCCAGGACCGCTTTCGCAAGCACTTTGAAGGCTCGGATGGTCCTGGAGGTGTTCTTACCGACGCGAAGCTTGTCCTGAACGCGAACGGCACGTCGCGCTGCTTCGGTTTCATCGGGTACAAGACACCCGCCGAGGCGGAACGTGCGAGGAAATGGTTTAACAGAACATTCGTCGACTCCTCGCGCATCACTGTAGATGTTGTCGATGTGAGTGAATATTTTTCAGTCACGGTCGCGATTGACTTATGCCAGCCTTTAGGGAGCAAAGGATGCCCCTCCGGCTCGCCCAATCAAACGACCTCGTCTCGGACCGTCGCCGGCAGAGGCTACCTTCGAGGTGTTGCCCTCAAAGGTGGACAAGTCTGCTGAAGCGAAGAGCAAAGATAGCAAGCACGCGCAAATGGAGGAATACCTGCAGGTCATGAAGCCCCGCACGAAGAAGGGCCCGTCATGGGCTGATCATGATGCGCTCCCCCAGCCCAGCAGCTCGAGCACGCCTGCTACAGCGAGCAAAGCAGACGCCGCAGATATGGTAGGTGCGAGGCAGACAAGGATAGAGAAGCATAGTGCGGACGGGGTTGAGGATGCAACAGAGCCAGACGCCGCCGAGGCGGTGTCAGACATGGACTGGTTTAAGCAGCGAACGAAGGCCGTCCTCAATGAGCCTAAGGCAGCGACGGAGCGGGCGTTCGAGCAATCGGAGGACGAGGCCGAAGAAGGGAAGCCTGATGATGACGGCGAGGTATGGACGTCTTCGTATGGACCATGCATCTAATAGCTGACTAGATGTAGTCGCAGGAAGAGGAGTCCCGACCCGACCCTTTGAAGCTGGCCATCCTGCAGACGTCGCGACTATTTTTGCGAAACCTCGCTTTCTCTTGTACGGAAGATGAGTTGCGTGAATTATGTGAACCGCACGGAACCTTGTCTCAGGTGAGAAACCTTTCCGTTCCATCCACTGGCTGCGCATTGCGAGCCAGCTCTACGGATGACAATATAGTTAGGGACAACAGACTCGTCGGGGATGTTGATTTAACTGGGAACTTGATAGTATTTTTCTGAACTTTAATCTTCTCCGATGTTTTCGACATGTGCTGATTCCATCGCTCATCAGGTTCATATTCCTCTTGACGCTACAACGAAGCAGCCGAAGGGTCTCGCATATGTTACGTTTGCCCAGCCAGATAAGGCCATCGCCGCTTATGAAGCTTTGGACAAGACATCGTTCCAGGGGCGTCTGCTCCACATCCTTCCTGCGGTAGATCGGAAGGGTAAGACAGAAGTAGAAGATGGTGGGAGGAACAAGTCGGTAAAGGAGGATCGGGAGGCGAAGCGGAAGTCTGGGGCAGGAAGGGAGTTCAATTGGGCAATGTTGTACATGAATGTACGTACTATACAATATATTTTGTTACCGCCCGGACCTCATTGTAGATTTACAGGCGGATGCGGTCGCTTCGTCCATCGCAGACCGGATGAATATCCCGAAGTCCGACATCCTCAATTCAGAGTCAGACAATGCTGCAGTTAAGCTCGCGCTTGCGGAGACGCACATCATCAACGAGACCAAGTCGTTCCTCGAACAGCACGACGTCGTCCTGGAGTCCTTCACCGCAAAACAGCCGCAGCGCTCCGACACTGTCATCCTAGTGAAGAACATCCCGTATGGCACGTCCGCGGACACATTGCGCACAATGTTCGCATCCCACGGAGAATTGAGGCGTGTCCTAGTCCCGCCTGCTGGGACACTGGCGGTAGTGGAGTACGAGCACGCTATCGACGCGAAGAACGCTTTCCGCGCTCTTGCGTATCGCAGGCTCGGAGATTCAATTATGTACCTGGAGAAGGCTCCCCTTGGTGTGTTCGCCGAGAGCGCAGGTTCGCAGGATGCCTCCACGGAGCCGTTGGTCGCGGCTGGCGTCAAGCCTATCGCTGCCCCAGTTAGTGCTGATGCCGTCGCAGACGCTGCGGCGGGCGAGCCTGCTCTCTCTGCTGCGACCACTCTCTTTCTCAAGAATCTCGCGTTCAGCACGACCGCCGAAGGACTTGTCGCAGCGTTACGCCATCTACCTGGATTTGCCTTCGCCCGCGTGCAGACGAAGGTCGACCCTGCGCGTCCGGGGGCGCGGCTCAGCATGGGCTACGGCTTTGTTGGGTTCAAGACGAAGGAAGAGGCGACGCGTGGGCTGAAGTCGCTGGAGGGCTTCGTGCTCGATGGGCACGTGCTGACGGTGAAGTGGGCGGGACGTGGCGCGGACGAGGCGGAGGGCTCCGAGGCGAAGGGCACGCCGAAGAGCTCGAAGATGATCGTGAAGAACGTGCCGTTCGAGGCGACGAAGAAGGACATACAGCAGCTCTTCGGCGCACACGCGCAGCTCAAGTCCGTCCGCCTCCCGCGCAAGTTCGACAAGCGCACGCGCGGCTTCGCGTTCCTCGAGTTTGTCTCGCCACACGAGGCTGCCCGTGCGTACGCGGCCCTCCGCCATACCCACTTGCTAGGGCGTCATCTTGTCTTGGAATGGGCTGAGGACAGCGCGGCAGATATTGAGGAGCTGCGGAAGAAGGCCGGCGTTGGGTATGGCGCTGGTAAGGAGATGCCTGGACGGAAGCGGAAGGTGCGGCTGGAGGACAAGGACGGTGAGGATGTGTATGATGTATGAGGTTACAGTACATCAAATTCTACATGAATGCGTGCTGGGGTCATTCCACCACCTTGACCTCATACCACCACCTACCGATAGGCGCCCGCTTATCGGCCCCCATCTGCCCCATCTCTCGCCCGCTCCTTCCTCCCCTAGTGTCAAGAGACCCTCCAACGGGGCCCCCACAGTCGCTACGGCATAGATTCCATCAACCAACTCGATCGACAATTGGGACTGTGGATGCCTCATGTTATCCATGGATTGCACTACTTGATCCTCTCTCCCCCTCATTAACCGACTCCATCATGCCCTATGTGTTGGGATGACATATCTATCCCATCAGAAATCCCTCCTCTGTTTGTAATGGTTGCCACTCTTCCTTACCAATGTGCAACTCCAACTGCACACCCCAGTTGCAGGGAGGCTACGGCTGGCCCTACACAGTACCTGCCATGGGGTTTATGACTGCAAATGTGGCAGTCACAACTGCAGGATCACTTTGTGGGATGAGAGTGACAGCAGAGGAGCAGAGGATATGGTGTGGGGTGGGGTCTGGGCCTCTGGCGGTATGTGGTATGTCTGGACATGTTGGGGGAGGGAGGCAGGGGCCTTTGGAAGGGTCCTCGTGATTTGGATCAGATAAGCTGCCATCATTCTGTCAGCGGTACTCAAGGCCCCTGGGCTCTCGGGGGCAGGGAGACTATGATGGGATGTGGTATTGCACCTCATGCAGCCCACTACCATGAAGATCAGAGATCAGAGTGCTTACCTACAGGGGGTCAACAGTACTGCCCGTCTTCGGACTCAAACAGGGCACGAGGGAGAGTAACCTGCAGGGACCTGCAAGGGGAAATGGGGCTCAGGAGGAATGGTCTTAGCATGCAGTAGTGTTTATTAGTGCCTGCATGTACCTTGATGTACAGGCTATAAACTCTCAGAATTTAAATAAAATAAAATAAAATGTGTGGTGGGGTCCAGATTGACCAAACCTGTTGCATCTATCCTATAATCGAACCACTGGTACCATCTATCTTGTTTTTGAAGGCCATATACGTATGTATATTTTAATTCATGTTGGCCTGGTGGTCTAGTAGTATGATTCCTTCTTAGGGTTACGGTACCAATATTGGAGGAGGCCCCGGGTTCAATTCCCGGCCAGGCCCTTTTGTTTTGCTCATTTTACAATGCCCTTTTGCTCGACGACCGTACGTTGTTTACGTTCTATCTCATCGTCTTACATATTGACTTGATGTTACCACCATCCAGGCTGCGGTTTGCGTGTTTTATCTTGACTGTATAGAGCCTATCCGAATCTTGTTCAAATCGGCGACTTCGAACTCGGACGATTCATGTGGACCTGTTTCATCTGCAGACTCATTTGCAGAGTAACGGCGGCTCCGTGTCAACCTTTGGTTGTACTGCTTTGTTTCCGACGTTGCAAATGCCCGCCACGCCACCCTTGAAATAGCACTGCATAGCCGTTCCTGGCGTGGGATCTGTCTCGGCCGTAAATCACGTAAGGCACAATCCGCCCCAAGTATCCGAGTCTGACGAGGGCTGACAACCGCTTCACCGCCTACGGTTCTGTCCCTTCCGGTGGATGTGTTGTACGCCGAGATAGTAGTGCGATGAACCGAGTGGGAGTGACAAGTAGACTCACTGGTTCACGCGGCCGCTGCTCCTGTCACCAATATCACGTCAGTAAGTAGAACACGGCCATCCACTGCCGTTGGTGTGACAGCTTCGAATCAGTTTCATACAGTCCACGGGGTATAAAGGAGCAACAACCTAGTGAGTGACTGCTCCTTGTATTCGACCTCTTTGAGTGTGCTGGCACCTCCATCATGCGACGTCGCCATCATCGACGTGACCGTACGCGGGCGTCACTGCCGACACAGAGTCCTCACACCGGCCGCCGACCAGTGGCCATCGACCTCGGCGCAGACCTGTGGGTTCGCCCCCGATGTCAGGGATGCAACTGACCTGGTCTGTCAATGCACAGTGGGTACGATGCGCCTTTCGTGATCCACGATCTTGTCCACCCGGTGTGGTTCCCTGATCTGGTCATGCAACCAATCGAGCAGTCGTACGTGTTCATGTGTGTCCACGGACATGTCCCACAAATTTCGTTGACCCTAGAGTTCGACCATCTGCCATCTGGTACTATATCGTCAATCCCAATGGACAGTACATATGCAAGACGGCCAAGAAGAACGGGATCATATGCAACAAAGTGCACTCGAATAGTCTCACCTTCGTTCAACACGCCCAACAAGAACACTGCGATTTATCGTCTAGATCTTTGCTCGCCAGACTCAGTGGAACATTGAGTCGCTTCGCCTCTCTGGGTGCACGTTCCCGCCGGATGACTGTACCGGATTGGACGACGATGTCAGAGTATCGAGAGTGGCAGCACGCCCTTGTTAACACCGAGAGAGTGGCTCCCGCAAATTGATTGTCTTCGTGGTTCCACACAAGGGCATCCATGAGCGAGAGTCAGTCATCGACCCGCAGAGTACATCCGATGACCCCGGAATTCATCATGTTCTCTGTGCAGCGCTACCCGTCCGAAACTTGGCGACTAACAAATTCCACATATCCGTTAAGCGGACTGAGATACGGACCTTATAAAATGGATTTCTCGTAAACATACACAGGGCTCATGAAGCGGGTGTGTCCCTACGATATAAGCAAGCCGTGATAATGGAGGAGTGAGTGTCACTCACACGAGACACCATATTCGATTGGTGAAAACCTGAGCGATATGTACTGGTGACTCGAATCGTGGACTTACCGTGCCTGACAAGGAATCGTAGCCTCCGCTTGTTAGCTATCGTTGACCTATAAATGATCAGTTGTTGCAAGGGACTTCTCTGATTGCTGGTCACGAAATCAAAGCGAAGAAACGTCTGATCTCTACGTGCACAGAATCGAAACAAGACAACGCACGCAAGAAATACAATGAAGGTGAGTTGTGTATCCTAACAGCGACATATGGTTATTATGCAGAACGAAGGTACGAATTTCGAGTGGCTTACATACAGATGCTTCCTGACGGCGTTTCTTCAATCCGCCTCCTCTGACTGAGAATCCTTGTACCACTGATCCATCCCTGTCTTCCCTTCGTAATGTTTCAGTACGTCGACGACTTCTGACGGCGTCAAGAACCTATTGATGACGAGCATCTACCACTCGTTCTCATCATATAGTCAACGGTTCACCCGAACCCTACGATTACGCACCAGAAGAAACGCTCGCAGGGCGCCCCACCCCGCTGCGCGGTGGATCATGCGCCAGTACTGGTCAATGAAAGCCACGACGCCCCTGCGATAGCCCTTAAACACGAAGCTCGTCCTATGGCGAGATATCAGCGAAGCGATTCAAACATTGCAACGACGCCTCACCGATTCAGGATAATCCACCGGTTCCATAAAGCCATCATTGCCTTATCCTCGTCGCGAACGTCGTCAAGCTCGAACAGCTCCTCTTCCCTATCCACGATCATCCAAGATAGGACGCCGAATGGTTCCAGCGGTAAGGAGTTGAGCAGATCGTAGATCTTCGGACCGCCAGGGCGGCACGAATACTCATCCTCTGGTATGTAGGGATACTGTGCTGCAGGCCCGAGAGGGTTCTCCTGTGGAGGAGGAGAGGGGAAGCGGGCGAGGAGCGATCCCCTCGTGGATACGGTGGAGTGTTGCCTATTTGCCTGGGCCATTGTATAAGTCGATGGCTGTGCACTGGCAGACAGTGTTGGGGACGCCGCACGGAACTTTATTGGAATGACGATTGGCGGAACAGAGGGCTCCAGACTCTCGGGCTGGGCGAGTTCGGTGACGGCGGGCATAATGTGCGGCAGTGGGTGTTCCTCTTCCTCCGGTAAATGTGGCTGCGGTGCTACAATAGGAGACGGTGGCAAAGGGGATAGGGATGGTCTACAACCTACGTTAGATGATCTTCGTTGACGTAGTGGTTTATTTACCTCTCCATAAGCATATCTCCTGGTAGTATATGTATATCCCGGTCGAAGGGAGAGGCGGGTTCTTCTTCTTCCGACGACGACGACTCCGAGTCAGAGCTGTCATCATCAGGGATATCGGGTATAGTGAGAACTATATCCCATGTTTCTCCCTGGGTTCGAACTGAGCGGACTTCATCGCCGCGCCGAATGACGTACCTCGTGCCTCTGCATCCACTTAGGTCTCGTCTCAGAGTGATCCCGTCTGAGATGGAACTCCAGCATTTCGCGAGTAGCGAAGTGTCCGTGTAATTGGCAAAGCGGACACGTCCATTCCGCCATTCCGCCCTTCCACTCTTCAAATATGTGCTCCGATTCGTTATCAGACTCGCCGTCAGCCCCACCAGCAGCATCCCAGTCGTACCGATAGACAACACCTATAGGTGCCGCGGGCGTGGTCTTCGGCTGCGTCGCAATGCCCGCCCTTTTGCACCGGCGTCCGAATCCTCTGCGTACATTACGCAGAAGAAAAGGAAGTCTTTTGAACTGCTGTAAGCGAGACGGCGCAAGCGTCAAGGCGTCGAGTGCCTGCGCCAGCCTGTCCTCGTCTTCGTCCGAGCTGGAAGGTACATCGATCACATCCTAGATCACCAAGGTGCTGAAGGGTCAATAATATTTCGAGGAGTGTCTGATAAACCACCTACATCTGGTATTTCTCGCTTGCGAGCGCTTTTGGTTGCCAGTGGAAGCCCAATTCTATAACACGGTCCCTGTCACCAACGCGGCGTGCGAAGGACTCGCGCTGAATACCTCTCATGATTGTCAGCTTGATCAAGCATTCCAGCCCTTTGTATGCTCATGTCAGGTCCAATGACCCAGCGCCCATCCGTGACGTCCTCAGGGTTGACACGCTGACGGTGTCCAAGCAAGTTGTGAGCGGACATGGCACTTGTTCGGCCACCAATGTCATGTATACTGCGATGGCGTCGATTACCAGGAGAAGTATCGTCATCATTGACCCAGGGAGGCAAAAGCACCGTCTTCGCAGCCCGCGGTGTGGACGCAAGGCTCTGGTAGGCACCAAAGGGAGGCAGCTGTTGCCCACGATCATGCCGAACAGGCGCAGTTCGCTTGCGCAGCGAAATGTGAGTAGCTGGCCCAGCCCCGTCAGCGCGAGCGTAAGCTTGCTGTATGGGCCTGCGTCCCTCCACACTCTTGGTAGCGACCCCACTTCCGCGCTGCGCCAGGCCCAGTGGCTGTCCCGCCGCAGGTCGGACGGGATCAGGTCGGATATGTGGGCCAACTTGAATTTGAGGCTCCCCAGCGCGACCTGTCTTCCGCGCTGTCGTACGGCCAACTCCAGGAGGTCTGTTAGCTGGTATATCACGAGAAGCCCCTGCAGCTTTACGAGCGGAAGTTTTCTGGTTTCCTTGATCCATGGTGTCTCGCTGTAGCAAGCCTTCAACCAAACCTCGCTAGGCCGTGGTGTTTGCGCATATTAGGATCCAAAGCTCTTGGACAACAGGCGCAAACAAGCTTCACGATCATCATGCATCCGAAGATTCGTCAGCAAGATTGTGTAGTCCTACTTACCAGCCTGCCATTGCTCATGGTCATATGTTGCCAGAACAATTGCGGCCGAATGGTCTGGAGTGGGTGTCCGCCAGCAAGTACTCGTACATTGAGGTCGGCCCACTGGTGGTCGAGATCACCGGCTGAGTACTGACGGCACGGCGACTAAAGTAGTACATAGAAACGCACCGTGACAGTCGCCAGATCCGAGAACACAGCACGAGAGGAACGGGACACAACAGTATACTGATCGATGTGACTAAGATGCGAGTACGATATATAGCGCGTAGGACAGCAAGGAGACATATAGCAACGCTACAGAAGAGACAATGACAATGACAAGTAGAGATCGCAATGGTGCACATGCACAGACGTCGGACAGGGATGTCCTCGTTATGGTCGTAAAGCGGCGTGGGTATGGGAGGCATGTCACTCTGAGGAGTGCCCTCTTGCCTTTCGTTTCGACGGCTTCTTGGCCTGCTGCTTGATTCGCGCCTAACGGTCGGTCAACACGACACGCGCTGATAGTGATGGGCCAGCGGAACATACCTTCGCGCGCGTCCGAGCCCCTCTACTCCGCTTGTCTTCCTTCCCATCGGATTCGTGACCGTCGGCCTCACCCTCTGTATCGGC